TTTAATAAATAATAGTTTAAAAAAACTAAAAACACGCTTTTTATAGAAAATCAAACTAAAAAATAGAAAATAAATTTTAGTAAATTTAAATTAAGAATAGTGTTAGAAATTTCAATAAATATTAATTAATAATAGTGTGAATAAAAAAAAAATTATTTTATTTTAAAAAAAGCGTGGGGTGCTTTTTAAGATATTATCAAAATGATAATCACTCTACTCACATCTGTCAATAAAATATTTGTAACTATTGACACCATGCACCCCACGCTTTTTTTAAAATAAAATACATTTTTTTTATTAACACTATTATTAATTTATATTTATTGAAATTTTTAACACTATTCTTAATTTAAATTTATTAAAATTTATTTTCTATTTTTTAGTTTGGTTTTCTATACAAAGCATATTTTTTAGTTTTTTTAAACTATTATTTTTTAAATTCAAACGGAAAGACCACTTGAAATTTTTTTTTACCTTCCGAAAATTGTATATTCTTTTTAACTGTTTATCAAAAAATTACTGATTTTCATTATCAATAATAAGAAAAAATTTTTTTTGAAGACTGAGATATTTTCTCATGGCGAGAGTAATAAAGCTTTAATAGGTTGTTAAAAATCGAACTGTTCGGCTCCCTACGGCGTAGATCAGCTCTTTTCGGTAAGCGCTCCACCCACATATTTGTTTAGATTGTATGTTATTTAAATGTGAGATTTTTTTTTTCATGGCGAGAGTAAAGAAGGTGAGCCGAATAACGTGGGTACTGAAGAGTTAATTATTACTAGCACTTATGGTCTAGAGATAAGGTTTTACTCTTTGAAGTTGGAGTTCTGACTGGACTTACAATTACGTTCAAATATTAACTGTAGTTAATTAAATAAGTTATATTTATTGATTAATTCGTTTATACATTGGAATTCCAATTATATAGCCGCTCAATGACAATAGTCTATGCCATATGTCTATAGTTTGTCGATTGTCTCTCAGGCAGAAATAACTCTTGTCGCAAAAAGAATTAAAAACGACTGATAATATTGTTGAACGGTAAAATATTAATTCACCATAAGAGAAAGAATTCAAAAGTATTGAAATTATGCAGAAGAATTGAGAAAAATTCAAATTTCGTTACGTAAGAAACATGTGTTTAAGCAAGATTCTTAAGCAAGAGCTTGTGTAAAAGCTATAATTACTAGCATCTCCATCTACGTATAGATCTTCTGCATGATCGTGTCTTAAGGAACCGACTTGAAGAATTATTTATAACTTGTCAAATGAATTGTGAAAATGGGACAGAGTGACAGAATTATGTGCTTTACTGCGATAAGACAGAGTCAAATTCTTGTAGGAGACTTGCAAAAGATCGGCAATTTTTACCTGGTAAAATATTGTTATAAGATATATTTTTAATGATTTTTAATTCGTTTTATGACTCAGGAAATCTCGTTAGATAAAAAAATGATTGGTAAAGATAAAAAATTGAATTAGTGGTTTTGAAAATTGATGTGATTGAGAACAAAATTCAATTAATAAATTAAAAATAGAAG